GAAGCCCTTCCGCTGGCCTAGAGTGCGGCTATTTATAACGTCATTCCCTCTTCCCCAGCAGCTGGCTCGGTTTCGTTAACGAGTGAAGATCAAAGTTTGGGGAGACGTTCGCATTGGTTGTGGTCACTGCCAGCAATAGAAAATAGCAACGGGGCATTTTCTGCATCCCGCAAGCGACTGCAATTCCTAGAAGAGGAACTTGCCCGGGTTTGGCCCTTCCTTCAGCTGAGTGCAGACGGGCGGTGGGAAACCTTTGCATTCACTACAAGCCTTATCAGCTGGGAACCAATAAATACCGCCAGTCTGCAGGAAGGAGATGTCAACAGCTGTTGCCTCTGTTCCTCCTGCGGAATGTCTGAGGCTGCGGCTTCTCTCGCAGGGAGAGCTGTCGTGACTCTCAGGACTCCCGGCCTTCGGCTGGCGCACGGCTGCGGCGCTAGCTCCGGTCTGTGGGATCACAGAGTCACTTCTACGCAGGATCGCTTCCTGGCGCTTCCCAATGCCCTCTGCAAACCGGACCCAGGTTCTTTGGGGAAGCTCAGCTCCCAGTCAGGCACCTAACCAAGTGGGCAGATTTTCAGCTCTCTGGGGGCACGTGGAGCTCTCCTCTAAACCACCCATGGTGGGCAGGGAGCCCATGAAAATCAGGCCCTGAGCTCCTTGGAAAATGTTGCCCCTGTTTGCAGAGGAAACCCATCCTGGGCCGTCACCAAAATGCGACTGTCTCTAGGGAGGGATGAAAGCAGCCACAGCAGCGCACCACAGGGCATTTAAGAAGGGGACATTTTGCGGGTGTGAAACACTCTCACCAGTGCAAATAATTTCACTATGGCCCAAGCGAGCGTGTAAGGCTCTCCCCTGTCCCCGTGGGTGCGGGTTTTGGCTTTAAACCACTTTGCACCTGTGGGGCAGAGGAGGCTCAAGTCCTTCCCATTCCTACCTGACAAGCCCCTGCGCAGTGCCCACCCCTCCCCCCCACTCCCGTCTGCCTCCCGTTCGGCCGTGCGTGGCGCTTGGCAGGGCAGGCAGCACTCCGTGTGAGCTGGCTCTGCCTGGCACGGGGAGAAGGGGGTGCCCTGGAGGTCGGGTCTCTCCTTAAAAAGCCGGGGGCGACTCCGGATTCCACTTGTCTGCCTGGGTTGTGTTCTCCCCCTGCAGCAGTGAATGAACGGGTGCGGGCAGAGCGAGGGGATTAGCTGGGGTAACAGGGTAACAGGACCCTTTGGGGCCAGCCCTGGCTAGTAAACGCTTTTGCCAGGGCGTCGCTCCGTGGCAAGGGCTCCGCGGGGCAGCCACTCGCCCTGCCTCCAGTGTCAGAGCCCCAGGCTGCTCCCTTCACAGCCTCCCCCCAGCTCCACTACCCCCGGGGGCTCTTCCCCCTCCACAGCCCCGGCGCACCCAGCACCTGTGGACAGGCGGGGGGCCGGGCTCTTCTCGCCAAGTCATCGCTGACTAATTCCACCCGGAGCCCCCTCGCCCCTGCTGCCTGGGTGTGCCCCTCGCCGCGGCGTGGCAGACGCGGTCTGACGCCTGGCCTGGGAATCCGCCGAGCGCCTGAGGGTCCGATTCCCCAGCGCCGCCCACCTTGCGCCACCGCTTACACCAAGGCAAAGGGCTGCCCGGTCAGCGCTGCGCCCTTGTGCGGCCACGCTGAGCCTCTGCGCGAACCCAAGGCCCAAGCGGCGGGGCCCGTGGGCTCGGGCCGGTGTTTCGGCAGCCCCTGAGGGAAGGGAGCGGCTGTTGTAGCTGCTCCAGCCTGGTCTCCCCCACTTGGCTGCCTGCCTTGCCAGCCAAGGGCAGGAGCAGCCATTTCAATAGAAGCCCCAGGAAAGGTGCAAGCTGAGGTAGAGGCCCCTTCTGGTGTGGCCACAGGGGCGCCATTTCAGGAAACAACCTTGGGGGACGAGGGGAAGGTGCATCAGCACCTCGACCATTAGCCGTAGTTCTCGGATACCCCAAAGGGGCACGCATAGACCTCAGGGAAGTCCAGGAGGGGGAGCTGCCCGCCTTGTCCCATAGCAAATTAAGGTCCCATTCAGCATCTGGACCAGGGTGAGCAATAATTTTTGCAAGGAGGGGCCACTTAATGAATTTTGGTACGTGGTCACAGGCTGGCTCCACCCCCTGGGAGGGGCGGGGCTTGGTGTGGACAGGGCGGGGCCTGGTGTGGACAGGGCGGGGCTGGGGACTAACTTCCCCCTAGAGTTGTCTGGGGCCAGAGGCTTTGCTTTAAAAACACAGCAAAGAGCTCGTAGCTCCCAGCCCTGCATTGCCTGGCAGCTGCCACAGGGTGGGGCCAGGTGTGGACAGGGCGGGGCTGGGGACTAGCTTCCCCCTAGAGTTGTCTGGGGCCAGAGGCTTTGCTTTAAAAACACAGCAAAGAGCTCGTAGCTCCCAGCCCTGCATTGCCTGGCAGCTGCCCGGGGTGGCTGCGGCTATTTAAAGGGCTCAGGGTGTCAGTACCTGCTGCCTTAGCCTCCATCTGGAAATTCAGTGTTTCAGGCAATAACACATAAATAGAAAGCTGCCAGATGCAATTCATAGACAAGATCAAAGTGTTAGGTAGGCCAGATCCCGACCCCGGGCCACATCCTGCCCTGCCCTGACTAGGAGGCCGGATCCGGCCCCCAGGCCACATCTTGCCCAGCCCTGGTCTGGATACTGCAGCTTTGTAAGAGAGTCAGGATGGCCCTGCTCTGCCACAGCCCTGCACAGCCTTAGGCAAGTCACTTAACTTCTCAGTGGGGAGAAGAGCCCTGCTCCCAGGGGGGCTGTGAGGCTGCCCTCACTAATGACAGTGACTGGCTCAGATGCGGTAAGTCTGCGGGGCAGAGAAGTACAGCAGGGGCCCTGCCTTCCTTGCCATGAGACCTTAAAACCAGTTCTCAGGTGGGGGTCGCATCTCCCCTCTCCCCATCTACTCCCTGGCCCCACAGGCGGCCCTGGGCTGGTGCCACGAATGGCCATTCTCGGCTGGCTGAGCGGGGCTGGGGAGAAGGCCACGGAAAGCCGGCTGGCGCTGCAGGCCGGGACGCTGGGCCTGCGCCTCGTGGGGGTGCAGAATTCCAGACACTAAATCAACCTTTCCTCTCCGGCCCCCTGCTAAGCTCGAAGCCCAGGGCAGAGCCTGCTTGGGGGTGCCTTAAAGGGGCCTGACTCCCAGGCTCCACCGAGCACCTGCCCCCTGCAAACCAGGCCCCTTTAAGGCGGATCTCGGCTTGGGACCCTAGTGACTTTGGAAAACCTGGGCCTGGAGCCCGGCCTCCCTCTGGTCTTCCCAGTGTCTCGCGGCTCGCCCCCTGCTAAGCTCGAAGCCCAGGGCAGAGCCTGCTTGGGGGTGCCTTAAAGGGGCCTGACTCCCAGGCTCCACCGAGCACCTGCCCCCTGCAAACCAGGCCCCTTTAAGGCGGATCTCGGCTTGGGACCCTAGTGACTTTGGAAAACCTGGGCCTGGAGCCCGGCCTCCCTCTGGTCTTCCCAGTGTCTCGCGGCTCCCCGGCAATGAGACGCGTTGGTGTATTTCGGGCGCGCCTGGTTCTCCGCACACGCTTCCCTTGCAATGTCGGCTCCTTGCGAGCCGCTTCCCAGTCACGGCTGGCTCCTTGGCGCCCCCCGCGGCCCC